AGCAAATGTATTTCGAATATCTTTTCATTATACGTGCTAGGTTCTAAGTTCATTTTTTTCTCCTAAGTTAAAGATTTTGCCATCTATTTATTTTTTTATAAAGTTAAATATATTAATTTAGATTGTCTCCCTATTTGACTACAAAGAAGTGCTATTATTTCTCTATGTGCAAATTATGGAAACAGATATCAAAATACTTTCTTCTTTCCTGCTCAGTTTTTTGCTTGTTTGTTTGATTGGGTTTGAGTGGGGTTTTTTGCCTTTTGTTGTTGTTGTTGTTGTTTGTTTATTTGTTTTATTTGTTTTGGGGTTTTTGTTTGGTTATTTTTTAATTTTTTTTTAAAGTAAAAGGGAAAATTTTGGGAAGGTTTCAGAAGTTTTAGAGACCTTTTTAGTAAGTCTTACCCTGGAAGAAATTTTTATTTTTTTTTCAAGACAAGGGCAAGTTTTTTAAGTGATCTCCAACTTTTTATATGGAGGTGTCATTTCAGATGGTACAGGACTTTCTTGTTCATCAGAAGATGGTGCAGTAAGATAGCAGGGATTGGAAATTGAAGTTAAAGAAATTAATGTTATACATAAGTGAAATAATTGACAACTGAAACAAGCTGATCTAAAGGCTTGTGAATTTTCCATTTTTTAACATCTCAATTTAAAGTCTGCATGTCTTTCAAAATTCCTTGAGAATTTAAGGTTAAACAAGAAACAATGCAGGGATTACTGGGTAATGCTCTGTGGCTTATGTTAAGAAGAGACTCAAATTAGTTGGAACATAAGAGCTTCTTCTCTTCTTAAAATTTGTGAATCATCCAAAAATTTTTCTACCAAATGAAGAGAGGAGAAGAATGAAGACTGCAAATATTTCTGAAGAGGGGAAAAAAAGAAGAAAATAATCCCTCTAGAAAAACCCACATATGTATGTGAGGACTTCAGCAATAACTTGAGAATATAAAGTACTGCTGAACTGTCAAATCACTCATAGACAGAGAAAACTGCTAAATACTTCTAACACCAGTAGCATTTCTGGCACATTCCTCTCCAGTGCTGTTCTGTGCAGTGTAAGACTCTCTCCTGCCTTTTTCATCCACCAACCTAATTTCTCACTGTCGCGCTTCTTTTATCAATTCCCATATCATTCTGTTCTCTTGGGTTTGTTTTTGTTTTTTTTTTTTCTTTTGACATTATCAGGCCCAGCTACAAGAGAAAGGTTCTCCCTGGTGCTTCAGGGCAATTTTGCATCCTTCCCTTGTGCACACAGCACAGGTAGTCAGGAGCAGAGTGGAGTCAGCAGGAAAAGACCAAAGATCCTAATGGGATAGAGCAACCTAAGCCCTCGCTACTAGCACCAACCACCGTTTCCTGTGCTGAACCCCATAGACAAATTAATGAGTATAATGTCTTCTTCAAGAAGAATCCTGTGTAGCCTTTACTGCATCTCAGCTGTTCTCGCATTTTACGAGTAAAACCATGTAAAAAAAATTTTGGAATGTCATCAGTAAAGTGGGCAATCAAGAAAAGCATGAGCTTGATACCATAATGAGAAAAACTCCTGCAGAAATGTGCTAAATGTAAAATTCTGAAAAGTTTTTTATGAGATACAGAAGCCATAATGCTCACTGTCAAAGTAAGGAGTTGGGATAAGATTCACTACAATAAGTTTAGTTTGCTGACAGGCCTGACTGCTGGTGTAACTCACCTCAATGACTTCAGCACACTTGTGGAGTGAGGGAGAGAAGGAACAAGATGCAAGTATGTCTGTAATTTGGTTCCCGTGCAGAGGGTCCTCCCAGGCAGTTATGCTTAGAAGCAGCTATGCACCCCAACCCACTTAGTTGCCCACAGCTGCAGATTTATTCTTAGTTTCAGGAATGTGAATCCTCACAGACATGGTAATGGCTTCATGTCAGCTAGGAGACAGGTTTTCTCCTCAAGATATTTCTCTCTGTGGGTGGATGAGGGGGGTTTAGTGACATCTGATTTCTGAACCACATCAGTCACTTCAGGTATCAAAAAGACTTGCCTGGATTACACTGGTCTTGCTAGTTCTGTAACCTGTACCTACATGCAGCTCAGTGTGTTTCATTAAGAAATCCTACTGTAGGTATATGACTGAAGCATAAGACACAGCCAAGCTCCATCTGCTCTGCAGCCTTGAGAAGAAAAATGAGAGATGCATACTGCAGGTTGGGCTGACAGGATGGGTGCTGTACCCCTGTGCTGGCATAGAACTGCATCTCAGCCCACAGGCCACAGTGAGAACTGGTGCTCATGATGCCATGTTACTTGTAGAAACACAGTAGTAGGTCAAGGAAGTCAAGGTGATGTGCCATGAGGCCTCACAAGCCTCTTTGTAAGTGCAGGCCTCTCTATTAGAGTCTCCTCTACTTGCCATAGTAGATATTTGCTCCTTGGCTAAGCCAAGACCAGCAGAATAAACTCAGGCAAACACAAGGACTGCAAAAGGATCCTGCATTTCTCCATCAACCAGGAGGGAAAAGCAGGTTTCTTTGACACATTTACCCAAGAAAATCCAGAACAAAGTCCATGCATATTCTAGAAAACTTCTTCCAGAAATTCCAATGCACAGACATCCTCTCTGAGAACAAACATGCACTCAGAATTATCCTGCTGTTCCCTGGGAAAGAGTTCAGGCCTTAATATAATAAATGTACAAGAACATAATTCAGGCAAGAACATCAAGGTTTCTATTTCTTTCAAAAGTTGATGGATTATAGTTTGCTTATTTAGCCTTTAATATTTATTGCGGTGATTCTGAATATCCTGAGTGGTGCTGAACATTATCCTATCCAATCTCCTTCTTTTGAGCACATCTTAAATACACGAAAAGTTTTGTCCTTTCTGTGTACTAAGCCCTGCTTTGTCAAGCCATTCAGCTAAGTCATTACTAAAAATTATCTTCTGTTCTTAACCTTCTATATTCTCAAGATTTCCCTGATCATTACAAACTCCAGCCTGTGCCCCTTGACAATGTCTCAATACAACAACCTTACTGCTCACATTCTTATGCAGTACAACCAGCCACTGCTCAGCTGAAGTCAATGAAGGGACACTGATTTATGAGATCTGTCTCTTCCCTATCTTCATTTCTGTTAAGTGACCTTTCAATGAAAACGAGCGTATGGAAGGGTAAAATCTGACATGGGAATAAGACAAAATATATTATGAAGATAAGCAGGTTTTCTACCTTGCTGAACACAAGCACTTCACTTGAAAGACAACCCCTGGGGAAATTTAGACATGTCAGTAGTCTTCAACCTGTTTCTAAATGAACTATAATATATGATAAATTTTTACAACAAGCAAGCAAATTTGCACCAATTAATGATATTATAAACAAAAATCTATTGCTTTTAAGAACAAACATAAACTTTTCTTTCAGTTAGGTGCCAAAATTTGGCTGACTTTGTACATTAGAGGAATCAGGCAAGTCTGCCACATGGATGAAAACATATATCCTTTTGTGATGCAAAGCTACATAGAGCTCTGTACAAGCTATTTGCTGTATGGTCTTCAAAGAGCTGAAGCATCCATTAAGCAAAAGACAACAGGTACTCATTCGCACATGAATCTGACAGTGTGTAATACTGTTAGTAGACTGTACTTGCTAAGAATGCTAGCAATAAATTTAATGTAATGAAATGAAAAGTCAGACGTGTTAGAAATTATTTATGTAGAAATAAGTCTGTTCTTTGAGGAAGGACAATGAACTGGGTTCTCAGACCAGTCTGACAGTGTCCATATAAAAAATGAAATCATCTAAGCCAAGCAAAGCATTCTACTGCTAGGGTTCCAAAGGATGAGAAGAAAAGTAATAAGTCATGGAAGTCCTAGTGAAACAGGTAGACCAGGCCATCCACACTGTTTCATATATTGTACCTCCACAGTATTCCAGTAAAATAGTGACAACAGGTAACATTAACAATAAATTCAGGGGGATAAAATCCTGTCTCCATTGAAATCAAAGCAAAATTTCACCATTTTCAGAATCAGGATTTCATCTTTGAGTACTTTTATTTTCAAGTATTCACAGCGAAGAGATGTCTGGAGAGGTGTCCGGCTTTCAGCGCTCAGCCCCTCTAATTGTTTCCTGCTCTTAAAAAAATTTGTATTATTAGATTTTGAGAGACATATTAACACTTAGCTCCACTGGCTTCTTATCTATTTCAGGAACATCCAAACAATAATAACTAAAATAAATAACTTTGCTTGTTTCCATCATCATCAGGGGACTGGCATCATACATTTTTTCTTCCTTCTCTTCCCTCTATCCATCCTGCACTAGCCTTCTTTTATTGCTCGCTCTGGTCATGGTTAATGTGAGGACTATTTCTTCTTCTTTCACCTTCACTGCCTCTTTTCAAGGCTTAGCTGAAAGTGACTGCTTCTTCTAGCCAACATAATAACAAGGAGTTTTTATTTTTTCATTCAGGTATGTCATTTGGAAGAAGGAGAGCTATTTTCCAGGATACTCAATATATTCAAGACCTCCTAAACATACAACACTACTCTTTTGATTTGTCTCTATCCATAAAAGGATATAGGCAAACATATATCCCTAAAAAAGGGCTGAAAGAATGTTTTCTAGTGTTTACAGCCTTTCAGAGGAAAGCCTGTTAAAATACAAGGGAATCTGTCACTATAAATGATGGAATCCCACAAGACAAGAGTGAGGATTAGCCTAACAAAACATCTGCCTATGTCAACAGTGAAACAAAGCTCCATCAGACACTGATCCAGGCAACTTAACATCTTCCTCAACCACCACCACCTCCCCACTGACAGCTGGCCATGCGTACAAAGCATGTCTGACTCTCCCAGACACCACTCAAAAGACTGAAAAGATAGCGCAAGTGTGGCTTCCTGACAGTTCTGTCTAAGGACTTCACACCAAAAGCGTGTACAATGCTATAAAGGTTTCACTCTCCCTCACAGCAAAGAGGTAAAGGTTTTATTTCTCCCAAGAAGACAATCTTACTTACTTGGGATAGCGTCTCTGCTGAAAGATGGGCAGAATCTCTGTATCTTGATTTGAATGTAGAAGCAGTAAATCCCGAAATCTTTCTGTCAGGACAAAGAAAAAAAAAGGAAAAGAAAAGAAAGAAAAAAAAAAAAAAAAAAAAAAACAAACCCAGACTGTGACTCTGTACTGTAAGTTCAGGCCACAAGCAAGCAAGCAGTAATATCAGTGAATTCTCTTCTCCAGAAATATTTAGCAGAGGACAAGACTAAGTGTACAGGGACTAAAGATCAACTGTAAAACACCTTAATATTTTAAAATGTAATTTTTTTTCATTCAATATTGAATTCTAGTAGTCCTTATAAGTTTCTGAGGTCTGCATAGAGGTCTTTGGGGTATCATACTGACAGCCATAAACAGTCCTGCCTTGAAGAGCTTAGTCTAAACAGAAAGGAGAAGGCACTAAGAATTCACCAGCCACTGAAGGATCATAGTAGTTTAAACAAACATAGATTAATTAATTAATCTAAATTAAACTGCAGTACAAATCCTTCAGTAACCAATTCACAGGTATTTGCAAGGATTGTTGGAAGACTGGATTGCTTTTTCACCACTATTACGTATTTTAAAAACTGCAGGATAGGATCATCTGAAGAAGGTAAAGCTTTTGTAACTTATCTTCACTGAGCACCAAATGAAGGGGTGGTTGTGGTTTGCGTAGCTGCCTTTGATGCCTTTCTTTCTCTAGAGGTGGTTAGACACAATATGTCAAATGGGATCTGTAGGAGCTTCTAGTGGTACTGATTTCTCAGTTCCTTGAAGATGGAAACCTCCTCAAAATTCACTTGATACCCAGATTCAGGGATAGAATTTCCCCCACAGATCAAATCCCTCTGGTACACCTGTAGCTGGGACATGCTCTGTTTGCTTCTTTCCTTCCATCACCTGCAAATTTTAATCAGTCCTACAGTGGCACAGAACCTAGGACATAGGTGATACCCTTCCTATCTCCTACTCTTCCTGTAATACCTAAAAACTGTGGATTTAAGTCTTCAGCAACAGGTATTACCCTTCATTTCCTAAACCATAGTTTGCAACCTGTGTTGTGTATAGCAGCTGTACCATGGATTTCTCTAACCTATTCTTCCACAGCAGTTCTTCATCCTGGGAACTGAACCTGAGGGTAAATGTAGTCCTCCTCCTTTTAGATCCCTATGTATCTCAAAATATCCTCTAACGTTGAATATATAGATAAGGAAATCAAGGGACAGAAAAGCATTTAGTTTTATATAATGCTACATCATCATAACTAAACTCCATTAATTTGGATATAATTCTGCCAGGTAGCCACTAAAATGGAAAAAATCCCCACCCAAACCCATACTTCATAAAGTTGTAATACCTTGAAGAAAGCACAGTAAATTCAGAAAGAAAACTCTCTTGTTAAGGGCTTAGTTTTAAAGGTCAATTGTCTCACATCTCTCTAGTCTTTCACCGGATGGCTAACACATATTGCAAACATCTTGGACAAGATACCAGGATCTACCAGTGAAGAAACAAGAGCTTATCTTTGTTCCTTTATTTCTATACCTCTTCAGATTCAATTTTGAAGAAAATAAGCACTCCTACCTCCAAAAATCTTACCATATCCTCAAAATGTAGCTTAGCTTTCCTGCACCTAACTAGAGCAGGGACTGGACGTGGCCAACAAAAATAAATGCAATGCTGTAAAGATGAAGTGAAAGCCAATGAGTGCCTGTCACGGAACAGCCTGCTCACTGTCTTGACAAAAAGCTTACCATTTAAAGCTACCTGCCTAAACATGATACACTATGATCTTGAAAGGCACTGGACAAGAACTGAAAGGCTTAAGAAAGCTTTCACTGATGCAAAATATCCCACTGCGTATCTTCAGAGCTAGAACATTAGCTTCTACCTCTACCTCAGGAATCTTCCAATGTAATTCAAGCTACTGGTGCATTTCCAGGAATCCAGGAAAGTCTTCATACGAACAACAGCCTTTATGTGCGCATAGTGAATGTGTGTGCCTGAATGAGGAAGTTTATAATGGCAAACACCAAATGACAGCACTTCTTTCCATAACTTGAAGATTTTGACCTCCAGAATCACGTCAGTGATTCAGTGAGACACCATGGTTAAGGATCTGCCTTTGTGGTGGCATGACTGATTTATTTTTGAGAGCCTGTACCGAGGTTTAACAGAAATGCAAAACATGGACAGACATGCTCTTATTCAGTTCAGTGCTGCACAACACCACATTACAGGTAGGTGAGCAAAGCTGTTTTGTCAGACCTTGCAAAAGGCCTGTGACTCTGGGAGAGACAAAACATCTTGGTGGGTGCGTAGATATGTCCTGCTCCACTGTTCTCTCTCAGATGGATATCACCCAGGCGGAGGGTCGTATTCGATCTCTACCCCCTATCCTGTGACTTTTTCTTGTACTGCTACCCTTTCCCATTGATCAAGGCTAGCTGGCTGCACTCCAGGACTCAATTCAACAAGCTGCGATCTTGAAAATATTTTGAATAGTAATGTGACAGGGCAGGCCAGTACTGGAGCAAAACCAGCCAAGTTATGGCATCTGAAATTGGCCTAAACAGTTTTCCTACTGGATCTTGTTTTAGTTAAAGTCAGCTTTTATTTTTTTCCCCATGTTATGGCAAATTTCCCAGGCAGATTTATTTTCTTTTCACCATATGACTTTACTCATTTTTCCATGTGGCGTGGCTTAAGCTCAGCCAGCAACTAAGCCCCACACAGCTGCTCACTCACTCCCCTCACAGTGGGATGAGGGAGAGAATCAGAGGAGTAAAAGTAAGAAAACGCATGGGTTGAGATAAAGACTGTTTATTAGGACAGAGAAGTAAAGAAATAATAATCATAGTGGTAATAATAATAATAATAATAGGAGTAAAATAATTAGAAGATACAAAACAAGTGATGCACAATACAATTGCTCACACTTGCCAACTAACGCCCAGCCAGTTCCTGGGCAGTGGCCCCTGGCCAACCTTCCTCACGGTTTATGTACTGAACATGATGCCATATGGTATAGAATATCCCTATGGCCAGTGGGGGTCAGCTGTCCTGGCTGTGTTCCCTTCCACCATCTTGTGTCTCCCCAGCCTTCTCACTGGCAGGGCATGTAAAGCTGAAAAGTCCTCGTCTTAGTATAGACACTACTTGGCAACAGCTAAAGTTATCAATGCTATCAATGTTATTCTCATCCTACATTCAAAAGACAGGACTGTACCTACCAGCTATTAGTAAGAAAATTGACTCGATTCTAGCTCAAACCAGCACACCAGAGAAACACTGTATGGTAGCGTTCCACCTCATCTCAAGTCCATACTACAACTTCCTCTGGCACATGTAACCTTTCATGTCCTGTAAATCCACAGCACAGAAGCCTTTAGGACTGATTTGTCCCATGGGACCATTATCTACAATGTGTTACTCTTCAGGTCTATGCTATGTTTGTGCAGTATAAAAATCACTCTACTACTGCCTTTGAGGACTATCCAGCGAGGTGATGAGGGAGATGATGAGAGTGTTGGTAGCTATGGACAAAACATAGGTAATTTTGGTGCTCTTACAGAACTAAATATGAGAAGACTAATGCTTGACAAGAGAAGGCCTTTCAATTTGCGAGAAAAAAATATCACAATGATACCTTCCCAAAGAGGGTGGGAATCTTTTCAAAAACCTAAGACTTTCTTCTAATTCTTGCTACAACAACAAATGAAAGATTTGGGAACTACTTAAGCTAATAATTAGAGCATTTTTATATTATTTTGATTTGCAATCACTAGTTGATCAATAGACCTAATGTCATAGACAATCTTTTTATTGCTTGGATAATTTTAGAGAGACATCTTCCAAAATTGTGTTCTTACTATAGTTTAGTATCTAAAATGTGATGCTTTTGTCTAGGTGTTTCTCTGTTTAAAAAAAAAAAAAAATTACTTAACCAAGGCTGCTTTCTTACTAAAGCTGGCAATTATCTTCTCTGTTTCTCATTCTATCCATGCAATTTACATTAGTTTAAGTCTGTACTAGCTAGTCTCCTAATGATTTTTCACATTGTTCTGAGATCAATAACACCAGTGATTGTTTTGTCACACTGTTGAGTGTGACACTGCAGTCTGTTTCACTGATGCTCCCGTGAGTCTACCCGCAGGACATAGTTCTCACAGACATCAAGAACAGTCATGACTTATGCTCAAACTTATCTTTCCAATATGCTGTGTTGCAACTTCTTCCTGGCTTTCATTTTGAGTGTACAGTTCCTTCCAAATCCTTTATTATGAGCCAGTGAGAAGTCCTCAGTTAAATTTAGACAGTCTCATTGAGACCATATATGTTTAGCTAAACATGTAACATAGTTACCTGTGATGACTAGAGGCTGGATGTAATAACACAGTGTTATCCCCTGTCCTCCCAAATCAGGAAGGTTGTAGACTATAAAGAAGAGAAAGTTTGCCATTGCAAGCTTTACAGATTTAACCTGTCCTATACATATACATTTCTTCCCTGTCTCTCATCTAATTCTTCTCTCTATTCTACCTTTTATTCCTCCACCCCTCCAAGCATAACATATTCACAAGTCAGCTGCTGGAATCTCAGTATTAAATGCTTTTAACATCTTTATAATACCTGTTATAGCAGTTAACAATTTACAAGGAGAGAAGGATGCATTTCAAGGGAAATTTTCCCTTTGAAATATTTAAATGGATTTCATATTTGTTCTCAAACAGAATGCAGTTGTGCTCAGCATGGTAACACTAATACCAGAAAAATGTAAGCAAGAATGCGCATATAGTCTGAAGCTCATTCAAACTGGTTACACAGGCAAGCTTCCTTCTTCCAGGACACACTATTAGAAAAGTGGAAAGAGAGACAAAGGGATTTTTTGCAATATTTTAATATATGAGGCTCGCAAAGCAAAGAAAATCAACTTATATAGAAGGTCCTTGTGAGTTAAAACACATTATTATTCACATTCTGTAGACATCTGTAGACAGAGACACACTGTGGTGCACAAAGAGCACTGGCCTTGTTTTTCAAAGCTGTCACATCCCTG